CATGTGTCATTAAAAAACAACCTTGCTTTGATAGGAGATATTATCAAGTGTTGCTTTTGATAAAACAAGCTTTTTTTCATTAAAAAACATTTTTATCCATTTTATTGCATATGAATGATTGAACCCTTCTCTGTGGACACAGTTTTAGATGTAGTGAGAGGACATTAAGAAACATAGATTTGGTATAATAATGAGAAAATTAAATTGAAGAAAGTGACGTGTGGCGACCCATACTTGAAATTAGTGCTCTGCATTTAACCCATCCAAAGTGCACACACACAGCAGTGAACACACACCGTGAACACACACCCGGAGCAGTGGGCAGCCATTTTTTTGCTGCGGCGCCCGGGGAGCAGTTGGGGGTTCAGTGCCTTGCTCAAGGGCACCTCAGTCGTGGTATTGAAGGTGGGAGAGAGCGCTGTACATTCACTCCCCCAACCTACAATCCCTGCCGGTACAAGACTCGAACCCGCAACCTTTGGGTTACAAGTCCGACTCTTTAACCATTAGGCCACAACTTCCCCCTAAGCTTTAATTGCATGATGTTCACATTCACACACTCTAGACTCATTCTGTGTGTATGTGTGTTTTATATCTATTTTCTTTTCTTTTAGGAGACACATCTGCTATATATAACTTGTATAAGTAAATAGAACTAATGTATAATTATATATATATATATATATATATATATATGTGTGTATACAGTATATTTATATTTTAAATAAATACATAAAAATAAATTAAAATTAAATAAAATTAATTAAAATAATTTTATTTTTTATTTTTTTTACCCAGCCTGGAGTTATTGCAGGACAATGCAACATTTATGCTTTTAGCCCAGTGTTTTAGCCTCAGATATAGATTCAAAAATTGAAAAAAAAAGAGTAGCTATAATAAACATTATATCACAGTTTTTAAAAGATATGCCGCCTTTGCTTCATTTTATAGCAGAATAAGTATCAGTTAGATGCTCTGCAAGTCTAAACCGCAGACTTCCATCTGGTTAATTGTTTCGGGCCGTTCTGGAACAGCTCTGATATGGTCTGTCTGTTTCCTAACAGGTGTTCACTTAGACATGCTGTATTTTGCTGATCAGTAGACTCATCTAAACTGGGATAATAATATTAAGGATGTTTCGTGCCAACATGCCCCACAACAGCTGGAACCAAAGAAACTGGAGATTTCAAAGACATTTTAGTCCATGCATTTTGCAAAATAATAATGTATTAGCAGAGGATGTCTTTGGAACAGAAAAATCCAGCTTGCTTTCCTGTCAAGTGCAGCATGGCACTAAACAGCCAGTCTGCAGGGAGCAGTTAACAATAGTTAGTACATCCTATTTCTTTAGAAACGGCGGCACGAATGAAGCCCACAGCACAAATTAATATGTTGAGTCAGAAGCATCTGCTGGAGCTGGAGGTTTTCTGTTTTAATAAATGAAAGGTGCCGCAGAGGTGTAATTTAGCATTAATTAAGTAATCCATTGTTGTGACAATGTTTCGAGGAATTAAATGGAACAAATAATTTTGTCGTTCTCTTCTAATGGCGTATTACAGCTTGATGATGATTACCCTGTAAGGATGTAGCAGCATATGGCTGATTTAGTTTCTTCATTTTCCTAACATTTCCATAAGACGGCATCATATAAAACACTATGTTCTTGCTCACAAAATTGTAGGCACTTCTAAAGGACCGTAAGTGCTTTGCAATACTGTTAAAATCATCATGAAATGCAGTTTCCAACCCATTTTTTTATTTGGAATAATGTGCACCGTTAAGTCTTGCTTGTTCTTGCTAACTTTTTTTTTTATTTAAAACATTTTTGCAGATATTTTTTTTTGCAAAATAAATAGTCTATATGAAATAACAGCAAACACAGATGGCTGAAAAGCATTACAATTAATCCTACGGTATCATATTTGATATGCAAATTTCTAAGCCCTCTGAATTATCAACATGATCAAAACTTTGCTGGAAAAACCTGTTGAGCATTCTGCCGTAGTTTAACTTTTTTCGTACTTTTTTAAAACAAGTACAAGACCTTTTAGTATCATTGTAAAAATGTTCCATTTCAGGTCATTGCTAATGTGTCTTTTTGTTATGAGATTTCTATGATGTAAACAAAAAAAATAACTTTTATATTGTTAGTAATATTTCAAGATTCAAGAACTTTACTTGAATATCCATACATAATTTTCAGAAAAATCCATCATTGTTTTGCATTGCAGTATATGTTTTGAAACTATAGAGCTTTGATCATAAAAGTAAGCATTTGCATATCATCATACTAAGACATATTATAATTTGAGTTTAATTACTGAAATAAATGAACTTTTCCACGACATTCTAATTTATTGAGATACACCTGTAGAGGGACAACTGATATTGATATGCATTTTATGCAAGTAGTCTGTTACAAATCTTAACGACTTACATTTTTAAGCTATCAGAATTTCATCTTACTTTTTGGTCATATACTGTAAATATCAGCAACTGCACCAAACTACATATGTTTGCTCAGTTTGGGTCTCTGCATAAAACTGAGCTGTTTTCCCTCCTCAAGTGAGCTCAGTATTCTCATTATATCATACAATGTAAGCCATACAATGTGTACTGATTATGATACTCAACAAACACACTTTATATTTTGTCTAAAGGTTCAGTAAACTGGTCTATTCCAAGTTATTACATTTCATATGTCAGGCTTTAGGGGTTATGATTGCTGATCCAGGTTATACAGAGATTTCAAACTCTAGGTTTGCATGAATAATTAGTTACCCGTCATTTTGGTGTTGAGGTCTTGTGGTGTATTAGCTTCTTCATAGACCTGTACATCAGTAGATGCTCCTGTTGTCAGCAGGAGAATGGTGACTTGCAGCCTTATTTGAAAACCAGTCACATCGTCATACTGCCTGTTGCTAAGCACTGCATTAGCCCATTATGTCCAATAATACTGGCACTTCTGGATCTCCGTCTGACAGGCACAGGTTTTGCAGTGCAGGTTTCATCGCAGATACCTAGTAATTCCACAAGAGACATCAAACAAATAACCCAAAATGATGTGGAACCAGATTTGCGGTGCTCATGTTCCATCTTAATAGGCAGACGGTGTTATGATTCATACGAGGTGTACTGAAAACAACAGCTTTTATAAAAGATGTCGGAATCAGCATCATAACCAAACCACCTAATCATGGCTACTAGGAAACTGCTGGCAATTAAAGATATATTTGTTTTAGTGTTGTCAAATAATTAATCGCGATTAATCGCATCCAAAATAAAAGTTTTTGTTTACGTAATATGTGTGTGTACTGTGTATATTTATTATGTATATATAAATACACACACATACAGCATATATTTTGGAAATATTTACATGTATATATTTATATTCGTATAAATGATAATATATAAACGTAACATATTTTTCTTAAACATATACATCCATGTGTTTGTATTTATATATACATAATAAATATACACAGTACACACACATATATTATGTTAACAAAAACTTTTATTTTGGACGCGATTAATCGCGATTAATCATTTGACAGCACTAATTTGTTTTATAATATTTACACTATTGTTTTTTTTTAACAGTTCTGACTGAATTCTGATTGGATGAGATGTGGTTGTAAAATACCCATAAACGCCATTTTGTCTTTGCAACTTTACAGATCTTCTTTATGCACCAAGAGCTTGTAACACTCCAAAGAGAAAGGAAAAATTGAAATCGCATCATATGACCCCTTTAATATGACAAGCATTGCTTGACATGCATAAATGAAATGGACTTATCAACTACGTTATGTGGCAGAACATTATTTGTTAGCATTTGAATAGTATTGTTACTGTTACTTTGTGTCTTATATCATACTGCTATTCCAATGGAAGTGCTAGTAGGCCTATAAATATATATATATATTTTGATATCTGACTGATTCGTCATTGCAAAACCGTGTCAGTGTGGACAAATTACAGCCTTGTGGCTTTTTTTACTTTAAGAGGTTATTGGCATAAATCTTGGCTTATTTTTATTCAAGGGGAAATTATTCTGTTTTGATAGTTCACTATCACAGGAGTTTTCAAACTGAAGGTTTACAGGAAAACAGTGTAAAAATGTATATATAATTCAACTAAATATATTCATTTGATTTAAATCAGTCAGTCAATTAATCAGTTAAACATGTAGGCTACTGTACAACAGTATAGTGAGGAGAAAAAAAATGTAATGTAACATTATAGAAACTAAATATTTTTACGTATATTTATTAATGTTTCACAGTATAAATTGCGTCTTTAGGCTATACATGAAAATACATACCTGGATGCACAGGGATAATCATATTTGGGGGTCTGTGGAATCTAAACGATTGAAAACCTTGTCCTTTCTTACCTCTAGCAGACAATTATTAATTGACAGTGTTTTAACCTTTGATAAAGGCAGGTTACGTCAAATTTACATTAATAACAGTCGATGGAGAGGGAGAGAAAAGCGCATCATGGTTCCAGCATTGGTGATGCTGATAGCCTATTAATTTCGGCTCGCTTGTACATTAGAGAACGGTGCGTTCGAGACGAGGGATGCGAATTAGCTAATCCTACTATGGCCACGGCTTGGTTTATGAATATTAATTACGTAACACCACGTTCGCTCAGTAAACCTAAACGATTGGCTGAAAGTCAGACGTTCGTAAAGAGTGCAGGTCAGCTGGCGAATGAAGGAATCGTATTCGTCTCATGAATATTAATGACGCAGCGTGACGTTCGCCCCACTGGTTGGCCGAAGAGCAGAAGTTTGTGATTCGGTTGGCCTATCAACGAATTCTAGTACGGAGAAGGCGTGGCTAGGAATACTAGCTAGATAGATTACGTAACTGGACGCTCGAGGAAGGTTACCATGCAACGTCAGCGTGCCGATTAATATTAATGAGTCAAGTGTTCGCCATAGTATGAATCGTTAATTTAGCCTGTGTAGTAGGGTTGCACCCCGTTACACGTCACACGCGCCTTCGTTCCAGGGTGAAGATGCAGGCAATGTCACACAGCCCTCCTCATCATCACGACTAAAAATTCACCGTATCTTATATACAAAGCATTTGGGAAAATCAATAACCGAATCGCTCTGGTAAGTGACGTTTCTTGCTAATTAATTAATGTTTTGGAGCTCATTTATAATTAGCGTGCATATACATAAATATGATGTGTACGCTCGTACACGTTTTAAATATACCACATTTATGTTTGAGCGAGTGTTTTAATGTTAAATGCTAAATTGTATGATTTTATATTTTGAGGCATCAGGTTCATTCATTTGGAAAATAATGTGTGCTCATCGATGCAAACGTAAAAATCATCAAAAATACATCTTTATAGTTATAACACCCAACGTAAATGATATAAAATCTCTTTTTAAGGCAACCTTTTGTCATTTAACACGACTCATGCATCATCTCAAGACATTAAAATTCATTTTTTTTTCGTTGAAATGCGCTTTTGTAGCCTATTATTACTTATTTCCAGTATGTATATTAATCTTTATTTGCCATGGGTTAAAGAATAGATCAAAAGAGTAATTGATAAAAATTCCCATAGAGACATACTGCACCTTAAGCCTCACCCCTTCACCTAATATATCCATCAGAATAAGACTTATTGGGCTTTCCATTTTCCTCACTGGCTGGTATTGGGTTTCATATTTGCTACAATTGATAAACCACGAGAAATACAAATTAAAATGAGATTTGTACCACGTTATATCTTGAAGCATCAAAATGACCTTGCAGCAGACATGAGGAATGGAAACCTGCTACATGTGTGCGTGTGTGAATGTCCTCGATGATTTATTCCATTGCTGAGTGCATTCAGTCTCGTCACGACAGCAAGTGTCATTTGGTTTGACTGAATTCACAGTGATGCTCTGTGCATCTACACGTGTCTGTATCACTGCTGCTTTTTCAGTGAAATAACGTCTTTGAGCTGGAAATGACCAACCATTACTGTTAAGTGCATGCAAGCTGAGTGCATTCAGTCTCGTCACGACAGCAAGTGTCATTTGGTTTGACTGAATTCACAGTGATGCTCTGTGCATCTACACTGTCTGTATCACTGCTGCTTTTTCAGTGAAATAGCGCCTTTGAGCTGGAAATGACCAACCATTACTGTTAAGTGCATGCAGATAGTGATAATTGTGCTCTTTATCAATTCTTATATAAGAGTAGATTATGTAGAGCTAGATATTTGGCAGTTTGGATGGAATATGCAAAGCTGTATGTTGTTAGTATAGCCTACTGTTAGTATGCAGAGATTTCCGATGGTTGACAGTAGCCTGTATGTAGACCTTAATGTTGGTAGTATTGCTATATCTATGCATATCTTTCTTTGCATTTTAGGATTGATATTAAAGTTTTGTATCTGATTGTATTGTATGTAGAGATTCATGCTAGTATGTAAAGCTGTATATGTGATCGTAGTATGCAGCTTTATGTTGGTAGAGTTGAGACAGAGAGAAAAGAAATAATGTGATATGCAAATGTCTGAAAGTTTGATCAGGTCATTGGTAGGATGAGCTACTGTGTTTACATACTTCTGGATCCCAACTTTGATCCGATCTGGTTGAAAGTGTCCAAACCCTGTCTAGGACTGTTTCTCCTAATGTGAATTGATTTGCAGGCTGCTTCTGGTGTCTCCGTCAGTGGTGGTGCTGCACAGGATTGCAGTTGTTCCTCAATCATTGTGTGCGCTGCAGTGCTCTTTTCAGAGTAACCTTGCGAGGAATCCTCAAGAGGAGTGATGTGGCAAAGGAGGAAGAGAGAGAACAGGGTTTAACGGCAGGAGTGTTTATCATTGATCTGTGCAGGTGCTGATGTCTTATCTGACCGGGCCGTCGTTCAGAACTCTCATTCAGGGATCTGGAATAGGATTATCACTTGAGTTTGGTGCAGTACATTTCCATGTCTATGCCACATTTGGATGCATTTTTTTATATATAAACTAACATTTTTAGTACAATATTGCAATTGAGCAATTCAAGGAATAGTTTCCCCCCAAATTAGAATTTACTGGAAATGTCCTCACCCTCAGACCATCCAAGATGTAGATGAGTTTGTTTCTTCATCAGAACAGATTTGGAGAAATTTAGCATTGCAGTGAATGGGTGCCGTGAGAATGAGAGTCCAAACAGCTGATAAAAACATCACAATAATCCACACCACTCCAGTCCACCAATTAACATCTTGTGCAGTAAAATGCTGCATGTTTAGGAAACAAATCCATTATTAAGGGGTGTTCATTTTAAACTCTCACTTCTGGCCAAAAGTCCATAATTCATAATAACACTTCTTCCAACAATAAAGTCCATCCACTGTTGTCCTTTCACTTCAAAATCCACCGGCATACTTGTTTATAGCTGTTTTGGCTTGTAAACAGTGCTCAATCTGTGCATATTTATCTCCTGATTCAGACAAGACAAATTTTTCACGAAGCAATATTATGAATAATGGACTCATATTTTAGCTGGAAGCAACGCTTTGAAAGAATGTCATTTTAGGTTTGGTAAATGTCTCCAAATCATTTTCAATGAAGAAACAAACTCATCTACTTCTTGTATGGCCTGAGGCTGAGTCAATTTTCAGCATAGTTTAATTTTTGGGTGAACGTTTTTTGTTTGATGCAATATTTCCATGTCTCCAGGTGCTGCACTGACCTCTAAAACTGTAAATTTATTAAAAAATATTCCAGGTGTTTTTTTTCCCTTTCTCTAATTAAAATATTTAAAATAAAATGTTATTTCTTGCTATAATTGGTAATTAGTTTATTGTTTTTTCCCGCCTGTGTCTTTGAATACCCACTTTCCATCTGTTAGTCTTTTGTAAAATCACTTGAACAAAAGTTCAAAATAAACTTGCATAACAGCAATGATCCGGGTCAAAGCCTGAGTAAATGTTCAGAGTGAAATCAAAGGCATGCAGATTTTCAGCGTGAAGTTGAAGGCAGCCAAATTGAAGCAGAATCTCAGAAGACGTGTCTTTACACACCAAGGTAGAGCCAAAATGATTCCTATTCGCTTGTGTTTGAACAAAAACCTATGCATTACTCTCCCAGCATGTGTTCAGAGACTGATAAAGGCCGTGGACCTCTTTGAAGTGTAACAAATAACAGTGACATCACAGTCCTCTATAGATGTGTGACTTATTTAGAGTTTTTTTCAAGGTTACATCCAAATGTCCTCAGTTTCACAGTGATGCAAATGGAGGGTGAGAATGTTTATTTGGAACTGCAGTATGCTTAGGTTTATACTGCATAAGTCCGCATATAACTGAATCATACACTAATCTCTCACCCATTAATCCCTGCGGTAAAATATGAGCTCTTATAGAGGGGCCTCTCATTTCCCCTGGACTTATATACACCACACATAGTATGTGCCATGACTGTTCTTTTGTCATTTAAACCTGTTGAGTTGCACGTCCCACTATTATGTAAGTCAGAGTCAGAATTTAAAGCCATTTGCAACCCATTTCTTAGTGAAACTGGATATTTATCAAGAAGTAATGGAGTGAAGCTTGGTTTTATCAGCCTAGAATTGAGTGAATTGTGAAAAGTGGATAGATCTAGATCGAAAGATGGTTTGGCTGTCTGTTATCATTGTGGCATCAGCGGAAAAAGGAAATTTGTTTCAGAGGAAGAAGACATTCTTAGGTTTGGATGACATTCAATGTTTTTTTCCCCCCTCTGGAACAAACAAAAAAAAATTCTGGTGTAGTACTTTGAAACAATTTTTTGGTAAATATCACTTTCAATTAGCAATTTCTAGTAAAACCTACTACAGTAATCTTTGTTTTATTTACAAACTCAGTCATTCACAATAAGATCAGTAATAGTAAGAAAGTAAATCGATTTTTCATTCATACTGACATATCGGTGATCAGTGTTTTTTTTTTTTTTTTAAGTTTTCAGATACTTTATTTTATAATATGAAAATGAAATGATGAATAATGAAATGTTTCATTTCTGTAGAATAGTGTGTGCTTATGAATCACGCACAATCAGATCAGGAACATATTAAGAATGCAAATAAGCTCAATTTAAATTTCATGTAGACTTTAAGGATGATCATCTTCATCACATTTCAGTGTTAATTCACATTTGCACTATAGCAACAATATGATAGAATAGAAGTGTTTCCTGTTTTTAATGAAACATTGCATTGACAACACCCGTCCAAATGTGGCTCAGTCCTGTTTGCGCTGGAATATTTTGGGCTAAAATGGAGGCAGGGCAGAGGATGCTGGTGGTGCTGATGTAGCAGAGGGCAGGAGTGACTGTGGCCATGGTGACAGCAGCGCACACTGAGAGATTTGTTCCAGGGCTAACGTGACTCACAACAGCTCTGTCCTTTCCTGAGAGACCACTGTCGAGATGCTTCTAAACATCCGCTAACATGCTTCTCTCCTCCCTCTATTCCATCCACCGCACTCATTCTCAGATCCATTAACTCCAGGCTTCTGCTGTCACTCTCGTGCGTTGATATACACCAGATGCATTGAGCTTTGGCCTTGTTAGCAATACTTTATCTTCCTAAGCGTAAAGATAGTGCTTTAAAATAGTGCTTAAATGATTACTTTTCGGTGAGATTAGACTTCAAACAAATGAAGAGATGGCGTACAAAAGATGAAGAAAAAATGGTTAAAGAGGCTGGAGCATTCTAACATTAAAACAGCTGTCCTTAAATAATAAAGCTAAATATTAAATAATATATTAAATATAATTGTGTAATGTTGCAGTGCTGTAATACAATCATTTTTAAATTACAATCACCAGAAATGAAAGGTAGTACAACTGTGAAAATACCATTTTAATTATATAATTTAATAATATAATTATTATTAATTAATACCTATAATACAGGTATTTAGTCATTATAAAAATATTTTCATTTAATTTCTGTTTTATGTTGTTTTTAAGTTAAGTTTCTTATGCTCACCTGCTTCCTTTATTTGATCAAAATTACAGTATATAATAATAATATTGTGAGACATTTTTTACATTTTTAAATTGAAATAGAATGTAATTTATTCTTGTGATGGCCAAGCGAAATTTTCAGCAGCCATTATCCTAGTCACATTA